CCACCGCCGCCGCCGCCGCCGCCACCGCCGCCGCCGCCGCCGCCGCCGCCGCCCCCGCCGCCGCCGGCGCCACCGCCGGCGCCACCGCCGCAGCCGCCGCAGCCGCTGCCCCCGCCACAGCCGCCGCAGCCGCCGCCGCCGCCGCCAAGTGTACTCTGCATTGTTTTTTGACAGGGATGGTGGGGGGAGGCCGCATCGGGTTCGTTGCGCATGTTCCGAGAATTTGGAGGCAGAGTTTTTTTTTTTTTTTTGTTTCTTACGAAGGATGGTGGGGGGGATGCCCTCATTGACTCGGGTGGGCTCCCAGTCGCTTGGGAGAGGGGGTGTATACTAATAGGGAACAGTGATAAACCCTTTCCCGAAGGAGAACAAAGGGGTTGGATGAGAAACCTCCCTTGACCACCTACGCCCAGAGAGCTGGTGGGATTATTTGGTCTTATTCGCAGTTCTAGTCCAGTGCGTGTAGCAATGCATATCGATTTGCATACATACATGTATACATATATGCACATTTACACGCATACTATATACATATGTGTATAGGTATGTATGTATGTATATATAGATCATTTGCATATATACATAAATATATATGTGTATGTGTTTATGTATGCATGCATGTGTGTATATGTATGTATGTATGTATGTAGGTAGGTAGGTAGGTAGGTAGGTAGGTATGTATGTACGTATGTATGTGTGTATGTATATCGTTCTGCCTCAGTCTCAGTGTCTCTCTCTCTTTCTTTCTTTTCCTCTCTCTCTTTCTCTCCCTCTCTGTCCATCAGTCTCCTTCTTGCTGTTTCCCTCTGAATATTCCCGTCCCTGTCTCGCAGTCTATATCTCCTTTTTTCTCTCCCAATCTCTGTCGCCCTCTCTCTCTACACCCTCTTTAAACAGGCGAGCGTTGTTGGTAGTGACAATTCCCAGCGCCTGTGCACGTGTCCTTGGCGTCAGGGGGGCATGTGTTATGTTTCTGCCGTTATTGCATCCGCAGCTTGTTTGGCCCAAGGGGCGCGACTTCAGGGAGTGCCATGGCGTCGGGTCCGGCGACTGCGAAGCAGCGCGAACGCGATGCCGTCGGAGCTTGGCGGACGAGGTCGGGCTCGGACCCGGGGTCGGCGCGGGCGGGCGGAGAGTGGCGGATCCTCTACGACGACCGACGACGACTTACCAACCGAGCGACCGAAGACCGATGACCGAGGTCCGACGACGAACGACGCACCGACCGACCGACCGACAACCGACGACTGATCGACCGATCGACCGACCAGACCTACCGACCGAGACGACTACGAACGACGACTGACGGACCGACCGACCGACGACCCACGACCAGAGTGACCGACCGACCGACAGACCGACCGAGACGACGACGAACGACGACGACGGACGGACCGAACGACGCACCGACGACCCACGACGGAACCGACCGATCGTCTGGGGTCGGCTTTGGAGGCCCCTTGGCCCTGTGGAGAGTCGGAAACCAGGCGCGAAAACGCCAAATATTTCCAGGGCCCGATGGCAGATCGATGATTTTGTCTTGTTTTTTGGGAGGCTTTTTTCCCGAAGCTTTTCGGGGCGTCTCAGAGTCTTGGAGACCTCTTGAACCGTCCTGGGGACTTCTTGGGGGAAGAATATCGCTCGCCGCTGCGCGCCCGAGCCCGCGGGGGCCGCGGCGAACCCCGACGGGTGCAGGAATTTCGGCTCCGGGCCGTTGAGAGACTCCGCGGGGTTCGGGCTGAGGCTTAGAAGGTTAGGCGACGGACCTGAGGTCGCGCCCGCTCCGCGCCAAAATGTGCAATGTCATATTGATTTTCCTGGGCAGAGAAACAAATCATCATGTGTGTATGTTGGTGATCACATATATATATATATATAGTGAAAGAGACGAGTGTGTATACATATATGTATACATACATACATACATATATATATATATGTAGAGAGAGATGTAGAGAGAGAGAGGGAGAGCGAGTGAGAGAGAGAGAGAGAGAGAGATGAGAGAGAAAGAAACAAAGAGGAGAGAAAGAGAGAGAGAAGAGAGAGACATATATAATATATATATATAGGAGAGAGGAGAGCGAGAGAGAGAGTAGAGAGAGAGAGAGGAGAGAGAGAGAGAGAGAGGAGAGAGAGAGATACGAGAAAGAGAGAGAGAGAGAGAGGAGGAGAGCGAGAGTGGATGAGAGAGAGAGAGGAGAGAGAGAGAGAGTGAGAGAGAGAAAATAAAGAGAGGAGAGAGAGAGAGAGAGAGAGAAGAGAAGAGAGTGAGAGAGAGCGAGAAGAGAGTGAGAGAAAGATGAGAGAGAGAGAAACAATAGAGCGAGAGAGAGAGAGAAGAGAGAGAGAGAGAGAGGAGAGATGAGAGAGAGAGAGAGAGAATGCGAGAGGAAGAACTATATACATATAAGAGGAGTGAGAGAGATGAGAGAGAGGGGATGAAGTGAGAGAGAGAGAGACAGAGAGAGAGGAGAGAGAGATAAGAGAGAGAGAGAGTGGA